CGTTCATCGGAACAGACAACTACAAAAGGTGAAGATGACAAAAAGGGGGGGTTACATTGACTTGTGGGCCAGCTGCTTCGATGAAGACCCCGCTGTCCTCCCTGCCACGGCACCAAGCGTTTACCCTTCCGATAACGAGGCAACGCAGATGATTCGCCTGAGAAAAGCGCCCAAAGGGAGGGTCCCAAGGATGAAGGGAGTGGATGATTCGAGCTCCTCTGATAGCAGTGACGATGGGGAGGACCTTATCTGGAGGGGAAAGAGACAGAAGACACAAAAGCAGYAACAGCTTGAGGACCTCAAAGAGATGCAACTGCTTGACGATGATGTCGAGGGCGGTTATGAAAAAGGGGATGAGGCGGATGGGGAAGAGGACGAGGAGGGGGAAGAGGAGGAGGAGGGGGAGGACGAGGATGAGGAAGAGGAGGAGAAGGTGGAGTTTGRCCTGTGTCCGCCTCGAGAGAGTGACGAGTCAGACAACAGTGACGACGACAACGTCGATGAGGAGATCACATTGAGGGAGGATGCGGCGCACTTGGACGATGACGCAGAGTTCTTGGAGTCAACGGGCCCCGCCTTCGTAAATGTTGATAGCGAGGATGAGCGTKCTAGAGCAGAGGCGCAGACCTTGGCCCACAGGGACCGGCCTCTCGTTGAGCAATGGATGCAGCAAGAGGCTGCAAAGCGTGTGGTAGTTCCTGCTGCTTGAAGGAGGAAGACGGGGTCGACAGTTGCAGCGGGAGCATTGGGAGAAGGGGAAGAGCTAGGGAACACAGGAAAGAGACTACAAGAAGAGTACAGCACTGGCATGCAGCAGCATGAGGAATCCCAACCAGTGGAGGATCAGCAGCAGCAACAAGACTTGCAGCAGCAAAAGGATGGGCTGCAGCAGGCAGATTGTGAGATGCGACAAGAAGACGATCGGCAGCAGCAACTGCACGATGGCCAGCAGGACCAAGAGTAACGCGAGCACCACGCAGAGTGGTCACAACAACATCAAGAAGATAAGCAGTCTGAGCAGCAGCAGGAGAAACAGCCAGCCAAAACGTCTGCTGTTGAGCATTCCCCTTCCCGCCGTCCACGGAAAAATTTTCTATAATTAAATAATCGTTTTATAGTAAAATTACATTCTAAATTTTAATTCATTCCATCTTTAAAAATGTCATTCCAATTTTAAAATTTTCCGCCTTACTTGCAAACTTTCATTCCAAAATAGGGTATCCCTTCTTATTTGGCCT